AAACTGATGACGTGAGGCATCGTCTGACACCGTGTTTGTTAGGAGGTTTAACAACATCATTGTCTGACGGATAACACGATGGTTTTCGAAAAGATAAAGACGTCCATCCGATATTTCTATCTACAATACACCCTAGTAACATCCTTATACATGCTGGAGCCACTGGAAGTACGAACGTTCAGTATCCTTAACAATCAAAACATCCGTGTCGCGACAAAACCGCACCCGTACAAAGACAAAATTATTGCAGAAAATCTACTTTACCTTGTACACCTCGATTATACAGGACGTTTTGAAATTTGTATTTTACTATTGTGTGTACCCAATAGGGCCTATTACAAATCAATAATTCAAAAATCAATTACGATCTTGATTAATATTTTCTGTATTTCATAGTCAAACGAACATATAAATCCATAACATGAATTTATCTTGTTGATTTCTTTGTCTGTATTGCAATATTCAATATCTAGTACGATGTAACTTGTGATACGCAAGTGGAAGATTATCCCAAAACAGATATCTAGTTTTGATATAACTTGCCTTAACAAAGTATCAGATTCAATATTGATCGCAATGATAGCCATGTGTGTGTACACCAGTTGTTCTGTGCTACCAGGCCACTTCAGGTTGCTTTTTCAGACGATAGCATACTATGTCTGTGGATACGGAGTGGAAGCCTTTGAAGAATCAATCACAACAGGATGATACCGGCCTGCATCAGATGACTTTTTATCAGAAATGGCTGCAGTAAATTTCCATTTCTTGCAGCATACTAGAAGATTGTCATCATTTTGAAGAAGAGTTCTCGCTGTGGGATTCATTTTTTATTCAGTTAAAGTGATCAACAATTAGGGATCACACAAAGTACTAGTAACTGGTATTTTTATGAATCTTGAAAAATCATCAAAATTGTGAGAAAAAGATTATTTTATAGTGTGGAGAGAAGAATTTCTGTTTATAACTGTACATGCGAGCACTTGAATTATTTTTCAGTTGGAAATTGTACTACTTTATAGGGAAACTTGTGATAGGAAAATTCCAACTTTATACTTTAACAATAGAGATATTTTATACTTTTGAATGTTTTTTTTATTCTGATGTATGAATTACTTACACTTTGTAGATCTTCCTAGATCTATATTATATATAGATACTTGCCAACAAGTTGACGTGTTCATAAGTTAACTATAGGTTCATGTAGAATGTTTACTAGATACATGTTTCCTAAAGATTTTTAAACACATTGCGTTAACCACATGAAGGTCACTCACTGTTGTTTTAATATTCAAAGATGTTGTATAGATAGATTCCATATTGTCTTTCTTGCCAATATATGTAATATATCATGTAGTTTTTATTTTATTTCAATATTTTATCGTTATCTTAAGCAGATTTGTATCACCAGTAAATTGGTTTATTTTATTTCTTTGGTGCTAGCTATATTTCCTTTTAAACATTTATATGATTTAGTTATTATACCTAGTGTTCAATATACATTAATTTTTTAACAGGAAATTGTTTATGCAGGTGCTGTACATATGTATGAGGTACTTTGATTCTGATTGTAACCAAAAGAGAGAGATTTTAATTAGTGTTTTGTATAAAAGCTATAAAGATGGGCAGCATTTTAAACTTTAATAGCCAAAAAAAAAAACTTTTGACATTCTGTTGTCATTTTAGGCCATTATGTTTGTTGTTTCTGATATCTCTTTAACCAACTTTTTATTTAATGTTAATACATACTGAAACAATAGGAGAGCTTCTTCTTTCTGGTAAAACTTGAAATACTATACTATTATTGGGAGAAAATTTTTATCATGATGTATTGCTTCTGTATTCTTGTGGTAAATTAATTGACTATAAAATGCCAATATAAGCATGAATGTTTGTGCCAGTGCATTTGATTAATTTTCATTCAATAAGTTTTAAATTGTTTTCATGGAGCTGAGACTAAGAGAAAGTTATGAATAAGAAATGTTGCTCCTGTTACAATATGTTAGTTTAGTATAATTGATAATTAAGTGAACTAAAATTCAAATATTTGAAACCGATACAGTTAATCAATTTTGTTTGTTCAAAAGGAAACAGTGTGTTATGTTAAGATTTATTAAGATTAATTGATGAAGACCTTGTCTGTTCTATATGAGAAATGTCTGGACCTGCAAACTTATTTGTACTGTTATATCAGAACTAACAAGTTGTACTTCATTCTGTTTTTTTAATGCAGAGTTACTTTGTCTTGTTAGCAGGTATTGATTGTAACTCCATTAGTTTGCATGAGAAATTGATAGCAGTTTCTCATGATGTTGCTCTCTTTAAAAAAAAACTATGTGACAATCAATTCCTCCTGTAGAAAGAGTAGATAACTCTGCCTTATGAAAAAACAGCATTGATCTGTTGTATCTGAACTAACAAATTTACTTTTATGATCTGTAATGTCCAGACTAACAAGTTTATGCTGTTGGTTGGTGATGTCTGAACTAACAAGTTTACTCTGACGATCTGTAATATCCGGACTAACAAATTTATGCTGTTGATCAGTGATATCTGGATTAACATGTATTCTCTTATGATCTGAAATGTCTGGATTTAAAGGATTAATTGTCCTGTAATGTCATGATCACAACTAACAGGATTAATTTTCTTGTAATGTCTGGACTAGCTATCAAAGTTTACTTTTATCATTTGTAATGTTTGGACTTACCAGATTAATTGCGCTTTGTTGTCTGGACTAACAAATTTACACTGTTGATCTGTAACATCTGAACTAAAAAGCTGACTTTATCCTATAATGTCTGAACCAAGAAAATTATCTTGTAATATCAGGATTAACAAGTGGACCTTGCCCTGTAATGTCTGAACTACCAAGTTGACCTTGCCCTGTAATGTCTGAACTACCAAGCTGACCTTGCCCTGTAATGTCTGAACTACCAAGTTGACCTTGCCCTTTTATGTCTGAACTACCAAGTTGACCTTGTCCTGTAATATCTGAACTACCCATCTGACTTTGTCCTGTAATGTCTTAACTACCAAGCTGACTTTGCCCTGTAATGTCTGAACTACCAATCTGACATTGCCCTGTAATGTCTGAACTACCAATCTGACTTTGTCCTGTAATGTCTGAACTATCAATCTGACTTTGTCCTGTAATGTCTGAACTACCAATCTGACTTTGCCCTGTAATGTCTGAACTACCAAGCTGACATTGCCCTGTAATGTCTGAACTACCAATCTGACTTTGTCCTGTAATGTCTGAACTATCAATCTGACTTTGTCCTGTAATGTCTGAACTACCAATCTGACATTGCCCTGTAATGTCTGAACTACCAAGTCAACCTTGTCCAGTAATGTCTGAACTACCATTCTGACTTTGTCCTGTAATGTCTGAACTACCAAGTCAACCTTGTCCTGTAATGTCTGTACTACCAATCTGACTTTGTCCTATAAGGTCTGGTCTAATTAGCTTACGTTATTGTCCAGTTAAGGAAGGTTTTACATCACTATAAGTTTACTATGTGCTGACCTGTGTGGCTCTATGTATGGTGCTGATACTATATGTATTCCTTTTGTTTTGGTTAGATTGGTTAAACAACTTGGTTCTGCTGTAAAAAATGTCTATAGAGTAAGTCAAGATCACCTGTTTATTTTACTTTCTACTTCATGATAACTAAAATGTTGTAAATAAATTAGAAATTTCAACTGCATGAAGAGATAAATTACCATGTAACAAGTACCTGATGTGCCATGATAATAAACTAGTTGTTGATATGGAGGTCAGAATATGATGTACATTCTGTTGGAAATAATTGATTTAAATAATGATATGATAATAATAAATATTTTGATGTCTGCTATTAGATCAGTGTTTTGTTCTTGATACAGTGAATCTAAACACAACATTTTCAAAAGGAATCTGAACAGGATCATGACTAAAGTAATGTGCATTGCTATGGTCTACAAATCAAATCATTTTATCTATTTATTACCAGATGTAACAACACAGTTCCATTGTTAAAATTTCATCTTGTGGGAAGAACTTTTGTACAGTTGTAGCTCTGTTCAGTGGGGCTCAAAATGGTTTCATTTTGGATATGGCTTTGAAATGCTACTCCTTTTTCAGATCTTGGTGAATGATCAAATTCTAGTCAGAAACATGATTGGGGGAAAGCAATGACATATTGTAAAAGTTGATGACTCCTGAGAGGAGCCAAAAACAGGCAACATTGGGTATTATTTCTTACGCAAATTTGGTCTGAAACAGCCTTAAAGGAGACCATGCAAGTATAGTTTTTAAAAAATCAAGTTGGTGGCTCCTCCTGGGGAAGATGGATTTTGTTTTTAAGATAGTTCTCTGAAGAGCTTCTACTTACCCCTCGGTATTTAAAATCAAATTTAGCGAGAACATTAAATAAAGGCAACAATATTTTGTATGAACAAAGATTTAGGACTCTCCATGGGTGGTACCTAAAAGAGAGATAATCAAACTTTGCTTTAAAATGTGACTCTTCTTTAATGACTTTGCAAATTTAAACCAATAATGTTTATTTTAATGGTTGAACAAAAGTCAGAATAGTAAATTTGTTAGCTAAAACGAAGGAAAAAAAGAAGAAAAACTCTTATTTACTATACTCTTGCTGCTCATAGATACTTGTGAAATTCTGTCTGAATTGATTCCCCTTTGACAGGTTAAATTTTGCCACTGCTGTTCGAAGTGCTTTAATTTTTCAATTGTTTATATATGAAATCAACAATATCAACATATTCTTGTGCCTTATTATGTTTCTGACTACATCACTGCCAAAGGTTAATCAATATTGGACTAGATGCAGTAAGGGTGTAATACCAGGGGAGTGGTAAAAAGGTTTCCATTTTGGCTTAAAGTGTCTAACAAGACTTCATCAACTTTTCTTCCTTTAAGCATGTAGATAACGAAACAAAGCATCATTCTTCTGACAAAAAATCTGAAAATGGCAAAATAAGAAATGAAGATATCAAAAGATTTGTGAAAAATGTTTAATTAATGAAGACTTAACTCGATGACAAAGATTTGTGAGAACGAGACTAATTCTTTTACAAGATATTTTTATGACAATGAGCACTTCAGTATCAACAAGTCCCACTTTCAACATTGTCTCCGGGCAATTCTGATGTTTTTCTCCCTTATGGTGAATTTCTCAATGAAATAGTGTCACAACTGATTTCATATTCAGTCTCCTAGTTGAAAACCACTTTTAGCTGTTTAAAAGCAGCTAAGATCTTGTTTGAATCTCTTATGAACACATATCAAACATCTTTATCTGATTTGTGTTTACTTAAATGTCAAATGATCCCTGCAGAATATACTATTCATCAAAGGTCCTCATCGGATTCATCTGACTCCTCTAGTGCCTCCTGAAAGTACGTAAGAAAACACAAATTGATGTTATTTTCTTTAGTCTTTAACTTGTTGGATTAGTAACGTCATCCTAAAATACTGTTTAACAGGGTTATTTCACCAAATACAAATTTTGTCATGTGTCACAACCAAATATATAATTTCAGCCATGTCATAATTTAGTATGTAAGAGTAGGAAATAAAAACATCAATGTAACTCTTTCTCAATTTTAATTCGTGAGTTTAAGATTTGCCATGTAATCTTGTGATAAAAGTAGGGATTTTTTCCACAAACAGGAAACATAATAATATTACATATACGTGAATGATCATTTGCAAATGAAAAATAGGATAAGGAAATGTATATTTGCAAACCCAGCAAAAATAAATTAACAAAAAAAAAAACCATTTACAACATACCTTTGCATATTTTTCTGCTTCTACGTAAATGTTCTCTGGTACTCTTTCATGTTTGCCACCAGTTACTGTAAAATAAACAGTATCATTTATAAGAAATGATTCTACATGCCTTAGGATAGAAGACAAGTTCATACAAAGATTTTTAAAATTCAGAAAAAAAAGAGGCCAAAGGGCTTTAATGGTCATCTGAGTTACAATGATGTCATTCTTCGTGTAACATGTTATAGAAATAATCCTGTTCATAAAGCTAGATAACTTGAACTACACTATATGTAATGCAAATACAAACTGTGCATAACATTAACTGGACAAAACTTGATTGCAATAGGTCACCAAGAGACTTTGAAATGTTTTATCTCCGACCTCCTCACTTCCACCTTTGCTACATAGAGTGGTCATGAATGAGGAACACAGTCACTGTTCTCATCAAACTGTCTTTGAATTCAATATTGCTTCCAGTCTTGAAAAAAAAACAATCAAAAACTGATCCATGGACTACCCATGATTACAAAATCACAGAGTAGACCAAAGTACTGTATGTAGACTTAATAACCTACCTTCACCGACCCAACTCAGTTCCAATTCGAAGTTCTTGTCCTTCACTTCATCATGGACGATGTAAATACTGAAATGAATACTTCTCTATTTAAAGTCTTTTAAATAAGTGATTTCTAATCAGCTATGCAGACAATGTTCTCATTTCACTGTCATAACAGAACATCAGTGAATAATCTCATTTTCTGAACATGTAGAAATCATATGACCCACTTTCAGGACACTGACTAAATTTGTATCCTGATAGGGATAATTGAATGTTCCATGATTTAATGTTTCCAAGTGTACAGCATTTATCTGATCTTAATGTATGCCACTTAACCTACAATAAAATAGCATGTCAGTGGCCTCTAAAACCAGCATTTCACTTAAAATTCTCAAACCAGAAACACATGTAGATTTAAAATAGTTAATATACTTGTATACCAACAACATGGCAGAGTATACAAGTCAGAGGAAATAGAGTTATGCTTCCAGTTACATAATCCCAACAAAGTATGACATAATATATTTCTTACATTTTAGCCACTTCTTTGACCAGATCTCTGATTGGCATATCTCTCATCTATAAAAGAGATGAAATCAAAATCAAAACATAAAAAAACTAATTAATAAATTCCTACATGAATATATTAATTGATACAAAGTAACATATAACAACTAAGGTGGTTGGGTGGTGCAGTGGTAACACACTCGCCTTTCACCTAGCCATCAGGGGTTTGATTCCTCGAATTGACTTGAAAAGGTAGAGAATAACTTGCCTGACCATTTGGGTTTTCCACCAGTACCTTGGTTTCCTTCCACATTAAGAACCCTTGTTTGCTTCCATCCAGGCCAACATGAGTGATTTATAAACTTGTTTTGCAATTGTTGTTAATTACATCATTTTTATCATTTATATCACATGTAATAAAGACCTGACATAAAAGATTAACTTGGTTGTGTGGTTGGTTTAGATTCAACATCTCATTCCATCAGTGAAGCCAGTGTTCAGGTGTCATTCAAAATATCAGGACCATGACCCTCTCTTCATTATATATTAACATGGCAACTAAAATGTATGATATGCAAAGTGTTTCTCTTACTTATATTTGTGTATATATATATATATGATCAATGAAGTAATGAAGTTTCACCTACTTACAGGAATAATTGTATTTTTGTTGTTTCTTACTCAAGTTATAAACAATATAAGTGTATTTTTGTTTACCACACTTATAAGTGTCAATGCAATGACTCCATGTGTACTCAAATCTTCATTAAACTTCAGGTACACATTCCATGAGTTTGCTATTTTAGTATCTTAGTAAAGGAAAGTCCAAGCCAAGACGCCAGTTTGATTTGCCCTAAACAACTACTAGCTAGCTTTGATACATTCTCTCGTGATTTTTCATGCCTGTAATGTGATCAGCATAGGTCTTTCAATACACATGATACTTGACAATTATAGGGCCATAACTCTACAACTATGTGTCAGGCTGAATCACAGATCTTAAGACTTGCAGATTAAATATAACCTTTGTATGTTTACATAGTTATAAGACCTATACTGTGTAGACTGAATTATAAACCTTGGATCATTACCTGTATATATAAGTTACCTGTGATAGATACAAACTTAATAGCATGAGTGCATCTATATCTCAATGTTTAGTCTTAATCCAATTCTTAAAGGAGGGTGTTTATTCAACCATTCCATATGATAGCATTAGTATTAGTCCGTTGAGCAGTGAAGGACCTCCATGGACTATATCAGCAGCACACTGTATGCCCTTTTCATGCCTAGCATCAATGTACACAGCTATAATGTAGGAATCTTAATTGTTCCCATCTTATGATCCTGGAGCAAAGTCCTCAGATCCAAGGGGGCCAAATCTTGAAGAAAATATATGAAGGTATCTGTCTGTTCATGCCCAGCAATTGTGTAACAGCCTGGTAATATCAACCATTTACAGGTAATCGATAGGGACAGCAGAGCTAGACCACAATGAGGGTAGACCCTACTTGTAACATAGTTGTGTCCATCACTTCATGCGTGGAGAAATCCCATGACCAAGCCCCCAGGGTTGGGGCTGTATCCAAAGACTGATCCTTATGGTGGTTTTCCTTACTCCAAGCAAAAATGTAGCTTGACTTTAAATAATTGGGCTGTAGAATATGGCAGACTTTGGACAAACAGGGTACAATTTTTGTTATTCCTCAAGACAAAATGTTCTACTACATATCAAGTTGAAAAAAAGGTCAACCAACAGCTTAATTATTTTACCTTTAATTTTTCAATTTCTGTCTTTGCTGCTTGCTTTGCTTTGCCTGTGGCACAACCATGGTATCCCTGTTTACAAAATGAAAAAGTCCTTATTTCTTAGCAACAAAATGAAAAGGGTTCATTTGTAACAACAACAATACAAAAGTAAGATACAACAGTTAAATAAAGTAGAACAGTTTCAAAACTCATGATGCCTTGATAAGTAAGGAAATCATTTTCGTGTACTTTTTAGATAAGAATATCACCAGGTGCAGTTTTGTATCGTTGTACAGAATTGGTCTTATCTTCTGGCATTGATAACATCAGGAATTCAATATCATTATCTGTGTATATATGTAAGAGGTTGTACATTTTTCTACAATATGTATGTCTCCTATAATACAACATCACTAACAATATAGATCCTGCTAAAGTATAGTGTGACTGATGGTGCATAATCATTCAATAAACCATAGACAATATATCAAAATATCTGATCACTTTTCAGGATATAAACTAATACCTATATTTGTGAATGTGAATTTATCCTTAATTTAACAGCTTTGTGAAATAGGATGTATTGATAATTTAATGAACTATTTTGTAAGTTTCAAATCTTTCAAATACACATTTCATACTTATTATGTCATATAACCAAAACTAAATTAACCACATCATATCTAGTAAAATTGTGACATCAATATCTAAAGTAATCACACTGTAACTGAAAAAAAACTGAAAAGTATAAATAAGGGAATAAGATCTAAACTGGCAACTTGTGACAAGAGTATTAAGAAATAAAATCTTAACTGGCAACAGTCACATCAGTAAATACACCATATACAAACTGATACATTTCAGACAGTTTTCTGAGTGAGGAAATCTTTTGTGAAGGAGATTTGTTTGTCACATTAATGTAACATCTGCCAAATTAAGGTGAAGTACATACCCAAGACACTCCTGATGGATCAATCATGTACATCTGTGGTCCATCTTTTCCATATGAACCCACAATAGCACTGACTCCAAACGGCCGTACACTACTGTACAGTGTATGTGCATGTACGAACAATGATACTCTATCTGTCATGTGCTGGAATAAACATCACAATTATGTTTGAATTGATCAATATGTAATATTAACTTCTATGGCAATGAAAGATTGATATTTATGTGTATAAAGGTACCATCAAAAACTGAAAACCTTTGTAGGCTTAGTAAAGTTGTCCTACATCTTCCTTTAACTGGAATAATACAGCCATAGTTATATTTGTAGTTAGAACACTAACTTGTCCTACATCTTACATTATGTGGAATAGGACAGCCATAGTTATATCTGCAGTTACAACACTAACTTGTCCTACATCTTACTTTAAGTGGAATAGGACAGCCATAGTTATATCTGTAGTTAGAACATTCCTCTCGGGCGGTCTCTACAACCTGCCTTGCATCTGCTAGCAATCCAGCTACAGCCTGCAACAGTAAAACACAATATTGATGAAGAAATAATTTTGTACCTGTCGATAAACTAATGCATCAAAATTTAGAATCATGGAGAAGTGTTGTTCATAAAAGGACGCTTAAACTGTAATTGAACCCAGTTTTCAATCTCATTCAGAGCTTATGTTTTCTTTGTCTCTTTTTTTTCGTTGGTCAACAAGAGTTACTAAATCTGTCAATCCACTCCAAAGATTCATAGAATCGTTCACCCCCCATTTGGAGCAAAATGCTAAATAGTTGATAAATTGCACCGGCAAACATTTCACATTTGTCTTGGTATGGGCTAGTTTACAGAAATCAAATTTCCTGTATGTCTATAAATAAGTACCTGAGTACATTGTTTAGGGATATAACCTACATTTACTGACATTTTTCTTCATTGTTAAATTGTCAATGAAATGTTGTTGTGAGGCCATACCATTGTCCAGGCCCATCTCCCGCTAGAGTTTGACAAGGAAATTTCACCCTACTACTAAAAACCTTATTTCAATTGTCCAGGGTAATAGAAAAACTTTTTTCTCACCTCTGCCTATGCAGGATACACATATCCCACACAGAGTACCAATGTTGGATAACTCTATCCCACATGAGTGCAGTGAGTGACTTTTGCTTTTATGTGTCATCCCATAAACAAAATGAATCATTACACAAGCACGTTAAAAACTTTTTCTGATCTTTTCAAATGTTTCTTTAAGTGTGTCACATTGAAATTGTGCTATTTTCAGCACTACTGTTGCTTGGTCAACATTGTGTATACCAAGTGTTTGTGTGAGAGGTGGGATGAAATATTCTACCATAGGAAGTTATGTAGATTGATGGTTATTCTACCCTTATATAGAGAATTTGTATACACAGCCTCTGCAAATTTTATACCTTGCGGTAGAATATCTATATCTCATATGCCAATATTATGGATGACTCTAGATCAGGGATGATACAGTGCATTGTGGTGCACTCAATGTAAAATACCAGTGCTGCTTCAAATAAAATATTATGATACCTGTATTGATCACCTATCTTGTTCATATGTTGTTCATTGGTGCTAAACAAAATTACATCATAACTTTTAAACAAATAATATCATAATTAAATATAGGCACAACTTAATATGAAAGTGTTAGACCTACTGACTTACAAGAATACAGTTACTACTCAAAGCTAAAGGAGCCATGTCTTGGTTAATTCCAGTGCATTAAGCCCATCAGATAGCATTTTACAAAGGTAATTTCGAAAACAGTCAAAACATCATGGCCGACAAGTCTGATAAGGTTTGTCAGTAGTGTTGTGACACATATCAGATTGTTGGCCACGTATCATGACATGTATCAGATAGTGCAATTTCTGTATCATACCAGCTCTAGTTGACTCCCTTAATACCTCCCATAGGTGCTCATCCTTAACAATAAGCAGTCAACTGAGGTGATCTGATTAGCCAGACAGGCTTCACTTTTGATCCCTCGAGTGAGGGGTATAAATTGGCTGACCACAAAGAATGTCTCCCTGCCTTACCATTTCTTTGTTCCACAATGTCAATAAAACACTTACCATTCCTATGTGTTGATCTACATTGAAAATTCTTTTGTTTGCCCCTGCTTCATACAGCTTGGATGTGACAAGTTTTTCAACACCAAACACAACTCCATCCCTTCCTCTTACTCCCACTGCGGTTCTAAAAGAGAAAACAAAGGAACTGATAAAACCAATAAAATTGTTTAGTGATATCCAACTAATAACTGATATCTTAATAACAATGATGACAAATCATCACTATTAGAGCGCTCTCTCATACTTCTACTCAGTTCATAATATAACCACTTTGGTGTCCTGACACAATAGTTGATGAACACTGTAAGGAGATGTTTCGCGAAATGATGCAAGGTGTTGATTTTAGTATCTATATTAGTTTTTGATTAATAAGGTACTTCAGAGTCATATTTTCCTCGGCTGTGTACATGTATTCTCACAAAATTTACTTACCTTAGATTTGTTTCAGATATATATTTGTTTAAATATACCTTAGTTTTATAAGATATGGGCATTAAGGTACATGTATAAGGAATTTCTGTTTAAAACAATGGTTAAGGAAATAGTTGCAATAAAGAAATGAGGAAAACATTTTTTTCATCGGAATACTAGTAAGTGATTTAGAATATTGGTAGATTGGGTATATAAATGTGTTCATTAAAACAGAAACATTTCAAAGGTATACAAATGGTCGACTGTATGTTCACAATCAAGGCTTTCCCCATTGAGATTTCAACCAGCAAATGTACATTACAAGCAGTACTACTTCCTTAACCAGTAAACACTGATCGATAGCAGTTTATAATCAAATGCATACTGTCCCAACCTTACACTACTGAACAAAGTACACTGCTGAGACTTAAGAATAACTATTAAACTGCTATCAATTACAACCAGCTCTTGTCAGGATGAGTGACAACTACACCTGCTCCCCATCAACACTATCCAACCCTTCTCAAAAATTGGTTTATAAGCTGTTGGAACAAAATGTGCCGACAAAGCTCTTAGCAAACTCAATGAATGAGCAAATGAAGGATATAATGATTGTGGTAGAAGTCTACTTCTTCAAAATGTGAGAGTTTGCATACAAAGGTCATGTGACCAGTTTCTAAATATAAGATCTTAATCTGTTCCGTTTTAAGTAAAGAGAAATGTTGCACATGCTGTGCACTTTTTGTGGAGTCAAATCATAGGTAGAATGCAGGTGTTTAGTCATTAAAGGGCTTGCTGTATAGACTTAATAGGAAAAAGACTGTAGAAATAGCCAAAACTCTACTGAAGAATTTCATTAAGGGCATCACTTCCACAATAAAGGTCAAAATGAAAAATCAGTAAGTAGGTTTAGAAGTACAACTACATTTAGACAATGGCACTACACAGAAAGTTTGAAAATATTTGAAAACTGGAAGAAATTCTGCTTACAGACAAAACAGACAGCAACATGTTTTCTGTATCACATTTCCCATTCACATCACAAAAACAAATACCCATCTAACAAAGTAGCACCCTGTCGAATTTATTTACATTTACACCCTTAGACAACTTGTGGTTAGTTACATGTATTTGTCGACATACCCGCTGTTTTCCACCGCCTTCAATGCATATTCTACTTGGAAAACTCTTCCATCTGGAGAGAATTGTGAAGCACTGAGATCATACTACAAATGAAAATATAACATAATCTTCAATTAATTTATACTAAGAATTAATACAGCATCCTGTGACATAACAATCGAAATCCTGTGTCATGTACAACACTAGTGTCTGAGATGAGAGGATTTCAGCTTCAAGTTCTGAGATGAGACGGTGCATTAGATTTTCAGTGCATCTGAGCGTTCCACAATGTTTCTGAGGAGGTTGCTTCTATATAAAAATCATGTGGTGAATATTACAATGTATCAGTGGTTGTTACATGACCCTATGGCTTTTCGTTTTTGGTCACATGATCACTGAAGAACAACCAACAACATAAATGCAAATGCACTGACGAGAGTCTGATGTTATATCCCTATTTAATAACTGGTAATTGTAACTTTCTTATTGATAGATATAGGCCTGGATTGAACACCATAGTTTCCTGTGATCTTTCGATTCTCGTCGATTATCTTTTAACCAAATAATAACTACAAAAGATGTTCTTATATCCAACATTTTTTACGTGACTTAGATAGCATGTTAAATTTCGATTATCCATTGTCTTACCCCTGTTCCTATAGAACTCATTTTCACGGTTTACAGTGTTTCAGCTTTGTCACTACTGGCATGCACTTCACTTCCGGTTCCGGGCCGGGTCCAACATAACAAAATAAACGAATAATAATATTTCTGTAGGCAAGGAAATCCTATGCATCAAAAACGCATTTCGAATATTTCAAATGCAAACAGAGTATAACGCCGTTTTTAGAACATATCAAAAGAATTTAATTTCCTCAAAAATACCCAATCACAGTTTTGGTGATTTCGATAGCATTAAATTAACAACGATACTGTACCGTACAATATTTCAGTAAATATCCGGAAATCGCAACTGGACCACAACGTTTACAAAAGCACAGACACGTCAGTGGTTGACAGTGAATTACAACAACGAATATTTTTTTGCACCAGTTGTGTTCATACATAATTTACTTGATGTAAATGACTAAACAGTGCATAACTGTTGACAAAGACTAACACATAGACGAATGATGACCATGACGATGATAGAAGTTGGTGCAAAGCTTAGATATTGTGGCAGAGCAATTTCAACAATGCTGCTCTGTGTGTCATCAGCGTCCACAACACACCATAGACGTTGTTTTTCATTGACAAGTCGTGTGTCAAAATCTGTAACAGGTAATATGAATATGCAGTGTTCTCCTTCAATCTGCAGTGATTATGAAATTTTGTAGTATTTTTTCAAGTGATTTCCATGATATTTTTTCAAACTATCTCCCCTGATTTCAAGAAGAGACCACACCCTCATTTTATTGATAAACTATTTTTTGGAATCGGATATTAAAATGTCGATAAGAATGCAGACCTTCTAAGATCGAGAGTTCATTTTGAAATTGATCACAAAAAAAAAAAAAAAAATGGCTGGCAGTGGCCATTTTGAATTTTGTCATGTAAGGTTAATATTGCTATTACTTGAGTGTGTGATGGATCTTTCAAAGTTTTGATTCTGAGGCAGATTGACAAAAATGGCAGAAAAGTAGCCTTGGACTTTGACAATTAAAATTTGTTACTTCTTCATTGCTTGAAAAGTACTTGATACATGGTTCTTAAAATTAATTTGTGGATTTCTGTGATTGAGTCGTAGTTGTGCTCCAGATGGAGATTTTTCAGATTTTATTTTTAGGTCATCTGTCAATACAACACATCATCAATAGGAAACATCTGAGGAAATAAGGGGGAAAAATGGAAAAGTTGTGAAAACTAATAAAGAGCATACAATGATGGCCGTCAAAGGTCCTTCTGTGATCTCTTGTTATAATATATACTCATAGTGATAGATATCAAAAACCCTCTGTGATCTCTTGTTATGATATATACCTACAGTGGTGGACATCCAAGGTCTCTATGTGATCTCTTGTTATGATATATACCTACAGTGGTAGGCATCCAAGGTCCCTCTATGGTCTTGTGTTATATAATATATACCTACAGTGGTATGCATCAAAGGTCCTTCTGTGATCTCTTGTTATGATATATACCTACAGTGGTAGGCATCCAAGGTCTCTCTGTGATCTCTTGTTATGATATATACCTACAGTGGTAGGCATCCAAGGTCCCTCTATGGTCTTGTGTTATATAATATATACCTACAGTGGTGGGCATCAAAGGTCCTTCTGTGATCTCTTGTTATGATATATACCTACAGTGGTAGGCATCCAAGGGTCTCTTGTGTTATAATATATACCTACAGTGGTGGGCATCCAAGGTCTCTCTGTGGTCTTGTGTTATATAATATATACCTACAGTGGTGGGCATCAAAGGTCCTTCTGTGATCTCTTGTTATGATATATACCTACAGTGGTAGGCATCCAAGGTCCCTCTATGGTCTTGTGTTATATAATATATACCTACAGTGGTGGGCATCAAAGGTCCTTCTGTGATCTCTTGTTATAATATATACCTACAGTGATAGGAATCAAAGGTCCTTCTGTGATCTCTTGTTATAATATATACTCACAGTGATAGATATCAAAAACCCTCTGTGATCTTTTGTTATGATATATACATATAATGGTTGGCATCAAAGGTCTCTCTGTGATCTCTTGTTATGATATATACCTACAGTCATAGACATCCAAGGTCTCTCTGTGATCTCTTGTTATGATATATACCTACAGTGGTAGGCATCCAAGGTCCCTCTATGGTCTTGTGTTATATAATATATACCTACAGTGGTGGGCATCAAAGGTCCTTCTGTGATCTCTTGTTATGATATATACCTACAGTCATAGACATCCAAGGTCTCTCTGTGATCTCTTGTTATAATATATACCTACAGTGGTGGACATCCACGGTCTCTCTGTGATCTCTTGTTATGATATATACCTACAGTGGTAGGCATCCAAGGTCCCTCTATGGTCTTGTGTTATATAATATATACCTACAGTGGTATGCATCAAAGGTCCTTCTGTGATCTCTTGTTATGATATATACCTACAGTGGTAGGCATCCAAGGTCTCTCTGTGATCTCTTGTTATAATATATACCTACAGTGGTGGGCATCCAAGGTCTCTCTGTGGTCTTGTGTTATAATATATACCTACAGTGGTGGGCATTAAAGGCCCTTTTGTAATATACTCTTATAATTTATACCTACAGTGGTGGGCATCCATAGTCTCTCTCTTATCTTTTGTTGGAATACATACAATGGCAGGCATCAAAGGCCCTTTTGTAGTCTTCTGTTATAGTATATACCTACAACAGTAGGCATCAAATGTTCCTCTTGTACTTCTTGTTTCATGTAGATATCATATAATGATCGGCATCAAATGTACGGATATGAAAAGGTATGGGTCACCTGACTGACAATGTGGATATCTTCCCTGATACTCCCCATTTCCTTCTACAGTAAGAAAATCAAGAGTAAAATTATTAATATATGTTGGAAAAACCTGTTTCCCAATTGTTTCAAAATAAAGAAATAATGTTTATCTACAGGTCATTATAGTCAGATGACAATTAAGGCTCATGGGACTCTTGTTTACTCTGCATATTTGTCAAAAATTCTATATAGGATTATGTATTTAAATCTGCAGAGCAATAATAAGAAATGTACTATATATATATATATCTCTTTTGATATACAATACTATTATTTTGTTGCATTAGATCAGGGGAAGAAATTGTTCACACCTGGTCCATTGGGAACATCAAAAACGGTTAGGGAGGCTGCGCTCCCTGATTTAGGATCAAGAGATGTTGTGTTTATAGAAAAAGTGAAACACCTACGGTCCAGACTTGTCCAAATTGCTGGTAAGGTTGAACAGCAACCCTTCAGTGTTTAAGGATATATATAGGTTAAGAACAAGCTTTCCAGAACAATTTAAAGTGAATTGTCTAAAGGTTAATGTCCAAATTTAATGTGGAAATAATGTAAATTTGTATCTGAACTGTAATTAAGAAAAAAATGTAACGTATTGATGCCATTTAACATTGATAATGTGAGATACATTGTAACATGATGTTTATTTGTTATAAATTGTAGCTGTATAAATTCATACCCTGAACAAAATTTAAGTGATTTACCAATAATTATCTTCCCTTGTTCTTTATCCTGCTTCTTTATTTATCTTTCCTGAAAATATTTTAACTGACCTAACCTTGTCCTTAATTCTGCATATTAATTATCTTCCTTAAAATACTTGAATGGCATTGTTATCTCCCCTTGTCGTATATCCATTTAGCTATGCTCTGTCTTTTCCCATGCTATCCTCATTATGTATTACCTATTCTAAAGATCCCTATATGTCAGTCCTGCTTATCAGTGTGAAAAAAAGTGTACTAATTTACTATTTTCTTACCTACTTTGTTCTGTATCCTGCCTGTGTTTCAACCTACTTATCCCCCCTTTGTCCTATGTGATGCTTGTTTAGGTGTAAGAGAGGAGGACTTTACTACTGTTCCAATCCAAGGGAGTGGAACATTTGCTGTGGAAGCTGTTTTTCAAACAGGTGTTCCTCGTACAGGTGGCAAGGTGAGATCTTACACAAATCATTAATCTTTGACTCTGTTTGGACTTGTTTATCTAAACCCATACAGCTCATTCAGGAAGGCATTGGGCTATGCACACTCAGGTGAAGGTCAGAGGTGTGTGGTTTTGATGCTTCCTACCTGTGACGGCTTGTAATTGATTGATCTTTATACACAAGTTTGATTTTAATTATATTGCCAAACTATATTTTTATTTACATATTAATTAGGCCTGTCAATTTTTACAATTTTAATTACTTGAGGAACTTATCTATACTAAACAGGTATTGTTACTAGAGAATGGAGCATATGGTAAGAGGATGGCCAAGATATGCGAGTACATAGGTATACCTTACCATCAAGAAAGTTTTCCGGAGAACCAGAAAGTGGATGTGAGCAGAGTGGCAGACATACTAAGAGCAGACAACTCCTTCACATTAGTCAGTGTTGTCCATTGTGAGACAAGCTCTGGTGTTATCAACCCTGTGGTAGAGGTTGGGGCTGTTGTCAAGGACATAATACCAGGTACGTCAGAATTCACGGATACAGATACCAAGTTTGTTAATTTTGTGATTTTTGTTGTTGGATACAAATGTAACATCTTGATAGGGGTAAGTAATGACTTGTAACAGGTGTCTGTTTGCAAGTTGGAATTAATTGTGGAGGGACACTAATTACAACTCAAAGGTAAAGAACACAGTACAAATACGACTGACTATTGAGGCTTGTGCTGTGTTCCATCTTATTTTCAAACCACATTTATCAATATATATCAATCGGATGAATTTCAATAAATATTCAAGATATATTTACATTTATCTGCCTTTTAATTGCAGGTTAATGTTATTTCAGAGTGTAACTTGTTGTTTTGTAGATTGTGTGTACTTTGTGGATGCCATGAGTAGCTTTGGTGCTGTGCCACTAGACATGACAGCTGGCTCTGTAGACTTCATGGTCAGCTCTGCCAACAAATGTCTACAGGGCATTCCAGGTTTCTCCTACACTATTGCCAGGAAACAGGCACTGGAGAAATGTAAAGGTAGGATTGGTGGGTTACAGGTTCTCCTTCATTGTAACTCTTCCTGTCGATAGATGTTGTCTTACAAACACAAGTGAAACACTCTGGTACCTACTCAGATATCACATGATATTAACCTACACGGACATTACCTATTATCAACTCACACTGAAAGCAACTTACTTTCAAAAAAATTTGAACAATTACTATTCTTTATATATAGTAACATGTTCCATATTTTAGTTGAAACATTAATTGATTTTTTTAGCTCGCCTAATCAAAGAAAAGTGGGCTGATACAATCACCCTGATATAGTATCAGTATCCCTCCTTAAAATGTCTTTTAGCAATTTTTTCTAGCAGTACTGTATCATCACTAACAAAGGGCGTAGATTTTAAGTTAATATTAAAGGCATTAATATTAATTATTTTTCAAAATGAAGAACTGTGCTTTTCATTTTATGTTTATGGAGCCTAAAAGGGGTTAATTTCTGCAATACTGGATCATGAATGTCAAACTACTGTTCAAGCATTAATACATTAATTGGTATTAACATGGAATATGTTATCAACAGATGATCTATGCTGACCTTAAACAGCTTTCATTTTTTATTTCTTCATTTATTTATTTGTTTTATTTTTTATTCTCTGATTTATTAACCAAATAAAAAATGTGGGTTATTAGGAATTGAGAGATTTGATGAATTATGGCTACTTTTTAGGCAACTCTCGGAGTTTGAGCTTGGACCTATATGATCAGTACCAAGGACTGGAAAGTACTGGCCAGTTCCGATTTACCCCAGCCACTCACACCATGCTGGCATTCTGTCAGGCTTTGGAGGAGTTTGACCAGGAAGGAGGACTCCAAGGACGAGCTGCTAGGTATGTGTAAGGTCAAGATTCAAGTACAAGGTCAAGGTACATACATGCTTTTCACACTGCATTCCTATGTTGTATGAAAACAATTCTAAGATTAGAACTGCTTTTTCTTCATATAAAGTGTTAATTCTATATACAAATTGGTGTATGGCAAACTCCATGAACTCACTCAGCAATTCTAAATCAGTCTTGGAATAAATGATTGAACATAAATTTAGTCAAAGTCATGAAATATTCTAGTGTTGTATGCTGTCGAAATCTCATTGTTCATTTTGCATTTACATTCTTTATTAGTCCACCATCATCCAATGGTTGGCTGTTCCAATTACCCTTCATTCTTGTCTCTCCCTCATGTTTGACTTTTAATTTTGGGCTGCTCAAATCGCTCTTCATCTAAATGATCAGAAAAAAGAAAACAATCAACATGATTTTGACAGTTATTGTTTGTTATTGGGTTTTTTCTGGATAAGTGCTGGATGGATTACTCTCAAATTTCATATGTAGGTTCCCTTAAGTAACTTGTGCATTGTCCGTAGGATGAATAGGAAAAATGAAATGGCTGTCAATTTCATCTTAGAGTTCCAATGATAGTCTTTCTGGGGGTACTAGAAAGATCTTTGTCTATGTATGTAGGTTTGTCTTGCCATCTTGTTGCATATGTCCAGTGTTAAAAACAAATATGAGGACAGATGAGAATCAATCTAATATAGATAACAGTGGACATCTCTCTGGTGTCTATTGTTGTTGTAACTACTTCATGTAAAGTAGTGGATGAATCTTCCTCATATGTGGGCTTCCCTTGTCCCTTAATATGGATGTTTGATTTTTGGACTGATGAAAGAATTTGATAAAGTGGGCAAAAGGGGGCCATATTGTACTTTGAAACTTGAAGTTTTTTATGATATTGTTATTTCAGTTTAATGTATAAATGGGTTTTTTTTTTACAAAAAAGCTCTTGGTACACTTCCTAATGAGAAATTTATGATTGATTGCTGATTCGGTGCTTTTTAATAGTTTTTGGATTTTTAAAAATTCAATATTAAGTGATATTTGTATTTCAAATTCTTGTACATGTCATCCACGTTGCAAGAACTACAATATTAGGAGATATTTCTTACTCATAAAAGTACAATTTATTGTTTACCCAGTTTCAATTGATGTTTTTTCTTTTCGTTATTTTTTGTTTACAGATATATGGATAATCGTAGGATACTCAGAGAGGGTATGAAAAAGCTTGGGTTTACAGAATTCTTAGATGCCAGTCACGATGGATACATAATCACCTCCTACAAATTCCCTAATCATCCAAACTTTGACTTCCATACATTTTACAGTAAACTAAATGAGAAAGGTAGGAACAAAGATGTAATACTCCTTTTTAACAATTCTCTATCCTGTGTTGGTGATACCATATAGTTGAAGCCTTTAGATTATTTTGACAGCTTTAATTGTTCCATATTTTGTAACCTAATAGTTTAATATGTCCAGATTGTGTCTGTTTTTTTATATATGCCTTTGATTCTTGTCAAATCATAAGATTTACATATCTACACACTTTTTTATTCAAATCGTTCCGTGTCTGTGGTCCATCCATTCATCCGTCTATCCATCCATAAATGATTTTTGTTATCACTATTTCTTGAAAACTTTTGGATGGATCTTTCTCAAATTGCATATGAAGTTTCCCATTGGTCTCTAGTTGTACCTGTTTGATTTTTGGACTTACAAGAAATACAAAATGGCCAACAGGCAGCCATATTTGATTCTGAAATTTGAAAGTTTGTTATCGCTATGTCTTAAAAAGGAAAGAAATGGATCTCTCTCAAATTTCATATGTCAGTTCCCCTTGGTCTTTTGGGACTGATCAGAAATACAAAATGGCGGACAGGTGGCCATCTTGGATTTTGACTTTGAAAGTTTGTTATCACTATTTCTTCAGAAGTACTGGATGAATCTTTCTTAAGAATCATATGAAAGTTCCCCTTTGTATCTAGTTGTACCCATTTGATTTTGGGTCTGATCAGTAGAAATAAAATGGTCGAAAGGCAGTCATCTTGAATTTTGACTTCATAAGTTTGTTATCACTTTATCTTTAGAACTACTTGATAGATATTTCTCAAATTTCATGTATTGGTTCCTTTCGGTCCCGAAACAAAGGTTATAAAGTCCAGTCTGAAGCATATCATGTCTTTATAAATTTACTTTCAGTTCAAATCTGTTTCTGAAATATTTTTTCCATTCCTGCTCTGCAGTATAAACCTTTCCATTTCAGATCAGGTGATATACCCTGGAAAAGTGTTGAATGCAGATTGTTTTCGGATAGGTAACATAGGTGACTTGTATCCCAAGGATATGTCCCACCTCTTGGTGTGTATAGAAAAGGTTTGTGAGGAAATGGATATCCCCCTACCAATCCAAGACTGATGATCGATGTCATGTTACCTTAAAAGCTGATGATGGGGTGTCAACTTCCTCTCTATAGTTGATGATGGGGGGGTGTCAACTTCTTCTCTATAGTTGATGATGGGGGGTGTCAACTTCCTCTCTATAGTTGATGATGGTTGGAGTCACCTCCTCTCTATAGCTGATGATGGTAGGTGTCACCTCCTCTCTATAGCTAATGATTGTAGGAGTCACCTCCTCTCTATAGCTGATGATGGTAGGTGTCACCCTCCTCTCTATAGCTGGTGATGATAGGAGTCACATCCTCTCTATAGCTGCTGATGGTAGGTGTCACCTCCTCTCTATAGCTGATGACGGTAGGAGTCACCTCCTCTCTATAGCTGATGATGGTAGGTGTCACCTCTTCTCTAAAGATGATGATGTTAGGAGTCACCTCCTCTCTATAGCTGATGATGGTAAGTGTCACCCTCCTCTCTATAGCTGATGATGGTAGATGTCACCCTCCTCTCTATAGCTGATGATGGAAGGAGTCACCTCCTCTCTATAGCTGATGATGTATAGCTGGTGATGGTAGGAGTCACATCCGCTCTATAGTTGCTGATGGTAGGTGTCACATCCTCTCTATAGCTGATGATGGTAGGAGTCACCTTCTCTCTATAGCTGATGATGGAAGGAGTCACCTCCTCTCTATAGCTGATGATGTATAGCTGGTGATGGTAGGAGTCACATCTGCTCTATAGCTGCTGATGGTAGGTGTCACATCCTCTCTATAGCTGATGATGGTAGGTGTCACCCTCCTCTCTATAGCTGATGATGTTAGGAGTCACCTCCTCTCTATAGCTGATGATGGTAGGAGTCACCTCCTCTCTATAGCTGATGACGGTAGGAGTCACCTCCTCTCTATAGCTGATGATGGTAGGTGTCACCTCTTCTCTAAAGATGATGATGGTAGGTGTCACCTCCTCTCTATAGCTGCTGATGGCAGGAGTCACACTCCTTTCTATAGCTGATGATGTTAGGAGTCACCTCCTCTCTATAGCTGATGATGGTAAGTGTCACCCTCCTCTCTATAGCTGATGATGGTAGATGTCACCCTCCTCTCTATAGCTGATGATGGAAGGAGTCACCTCCTCTCTATAGCTGATGATGTATAGCTGGTGATGGTAGGAGTCACATCCGCTCTATAGTTGCTGATGGTAGGTGTCACATCCTTTCTATAGCTGATGATGGTAGGAGTCACCTCCTCTCTATAGCTGATGACGGAAGGAGTCACCTCCTCTCTATAGCTGATGATGTATAGCTGGTGATGGTAGGAGTCAAATCAGCTCTATACTTGCTGATGGTAGGTGTCACATCCTCTCTATAGCTGATGATGGTAGGAGTCACCTCCTCTCTATAGCTGATGATGGTAGATGTCACCCTCCTCTCTATAGCTGATGATGGTAGATGTCACCCTCCTCTCTATAGCTGATGATGGTAGGTGTCACCCTCCTCTCTATAGCTGATGATGGTAGGAGTCACCTCCTCTCTATAGCTGATGATGGTAGGTGTCACCCTGATGATGGTAGGTGTCACCTCCTCTCTATAGCTGATGATGGTAGGTGACACCCTCCTCTCTATAGCTGATGATGCTAAGTGTCACCCTCCTCTCTATAGCTGATGATGGTAGGAGTCACCTCCTCTCTATAGCTGATGATGGAAGGTGTCACCTCCTCTCTAAAGATGATGATGGTAGGTGTCACCTCCTCTCTATAGCTGATGATGGTAGGTGTCACCCTCCTCTCTATAGCTGATGATGGTAGGAGTCACCTCCTCTCTATAGCTGATGATGGTAGGTGTCACCCTCCTCTCTATAGCTGATGATGGTAGGAGTCGCCTCTTCTCTATAGCTGATGATGGTAGGAGTCACCTCCTCTCTATAGCTGATGATGGTAGGAGTCGCCTCTTCTCTATAGCTGATGATGGTAGGAGTCACCCTCCTCTGTATAGCTGATGATGGTAGGAGTCACCTCCTCTCTATAGCTGATGATGGTAGGAGTCACCTCATCTCAATAGCTGATGTTGGTAGGTGTCACCTCCTCTCTATAGCTGATGATGGTAGGAGTCACCTCCTCTCTATAGCTGATGATGGTAGATGTCACCCTCCTCTCTATAGCTGATGATGTTAGGAGTCACCTCCTCTCTATAGCTGATGCTTATCATATGATCTATCTTTATGTAAACAAGCAATTTTATGCTGGTCAAATATTTATGTTTAACTACCTTAGTTAACTGTTTTATTAGGTAATATTACATGTTCTTTGCTCAATAAACCATTAATCACATATGTAGTACTCTTTGTGTTATATGTTCTATGGTGGGGTGATCAGGTGAAATGTTGTGAGAGGGTGAGATGTCATGATAAGGTGAACTGTCATGGTAAGATGAGATTCGTGATAAGGTGAGATGTCATGATAAGGTGAGATGTCGTGATAAGGTGAGATGTTATAAGGTTAGATGTCACGATAAGGTGGGATGTCATGATAAGGTGAGATGTCGTGATAAGGTGAGATGTTATAAGGTTAGATGTCACGATAAGGTGGGATGTCATGATAAGGTGAGATGTCGTGATAAGGTGAGATGTCGTGATAAGGTGAGATGTTATAAGGTTAGATGTCACGATAAGGTGGGATGTCATGATAAGGTGAGATGTCGTGATAAGGTGAGATGTCGTGATAAGGTGAGATGTTATAAGGTTAGATGTCACGATAAGGAGGGATGTCATGATAAGGTGAGATGTCGTGATAAGGTGAGATGTCGTGATAAGGTGAGATGTTATAAGGTTAGATGTCACGATAAGGTGGGATGTCATGATAAGGTGAGATGTCGTAATATGGTGAGATGTTGTGATAGCGTGGCCCACAATAGTAGAACATGCCTTACTAAAGCTTCTACAACAACATCATGTTGTCCAATTATCATCATTTTATAAGCTACAAAAGAGAACCAGGTTTATAACAATGATATCACTTGTCATACTGACAAACATGGAGCATAAAAAATTTCTTGCACAGGAATAGAACATTTCCCACAAAGATAAAGATCAGCATCCCAGGGAGATCAGAATGGTGACTCAAACTTAACTGTAGTCTTAATTAAGCTGCATCTCTCAAAACCAAGTGTTTTTTTATACAACACTCAACAACAGATTCATATCATGGTATATCCTATGCTGTCTGTCTACCAGTTAACAGACTTGTTACAAATACGTGTATTCCATACCAAGATAGTTAACACAAGTTTGGGTTGTGGAATTTTGCAATTATTTTTTGCAGAGTTATTTCCCTTCTATTGGTCAGTGTGGGCATTGTGTGGAAAGGACAAGAACGTTTTAATTCTGTATTTAATTCCTTTCCAATTTGATATGGTGTAACAAGAAGCAAGGGGATTTAACACCAAAATAAATGGCTTTTTATGTTACCACGTATTTTCCCATTTATAGGCCAATTTGGGCATTGTATGGAAAGGAAAAGAACTGTTTAAATTCTCCTTTTAATTCCTTTCGGATTTTGCTCGATGATACAAGAAGCAAAAATTTAAGCATATAATTAACATATGATATTGGTTCTTTATGCGACCCCCGATATACAGAGTTATCCTATGCAAGTAAAGCCAAGCGTCAAGTCACAAGTTCCTGGATTCACATTGGAATACTGACAAAGTATCCTTAACGATACCGGCATAGCTGCAAAGGGAAAGAGACTATAAGTATAAGGTTGGGTGGAAAAAGTCATTTCCATGCCAAATATCGAAGACATTCAAACGGTGAACTACAACTTTCATGCTTCTTCATCACATGCTCTCGATATCGCTACATTTTAGGTAGAAAAAGAAGTGAAAAGAAGAAATTTATCCCTTTCTTAAAAAGTTCAGATGAAAAAAGGGGTCGGGGACTAAAAGATAAAAAAAACAGTGTCGTTTCCTGTTCCGGCCAGTTCGTTACTTCTTACCTCCTGTACGTCACGTACCTTTCGTATTACAACATATATTGTAATGCTATCAGGAGGAACAAGTATTCATTATTACAAGGTCGTTTACCTGATGTAACAAAAACAACGTAACTTCGATATACACAGTCTTATTTACTGGTTATCACTGGACAAAACAATGTTGTCCATTGGTTTCGCACAGCTAGTAGTCATTGTTATGTAACTAGCCGGTATGTTACCATAATGCTGAAGTAGTAACTGCCATATGAAAGTCTGGTATGTCTCGGCAAGAGAACAGGACACACAGTTTCTCCTCACAGGGTCGAACACTCAACTAAAGGCCAAAGGTGAGGCAGTGTTAAGAGAGACGTTAGAGAGAAGAAACAAATTTAGAAACAAAGGTAAATAAAAAGATCCTAAGTTAAGTCGCCCATTACGATTACGCAGACATAATTCCTACGACCTACATGTAGGACAGTGATAATTGATAAGTTGATTTAAGGTTATAACGACCCCTGTGTCCTTGGATATGGACCCATGTCTTCTCTTTTCGTAGACTTTGTCCGGCTTCAGCCAAGGTACCATCCATCCAAATACATTTGTTGAATGATATACTATAGTCTTTTTGGTAAATCAGAGGTCGTTTAAGGATTACAACAAATCTAGCACCTGTGACCTTGAATACACATCAAGGTCATTTCTTTTCGCAAACATTTTCAGGCTTCACCACAGAAACTTGTCAGCAAATTATCATTATTCTAGGCCTTTTGGTTAATCAGAAGAAGGTTCCAACAATTTTGGTCCTTGTGACCTCCGTCCAAGTAAGTAACATAATTCAAGGACGTTTTGTTCCTTTTTGGCTATGTGAGCTTAAACAAGAGATCCCAGAGGGCGCCCACCATTGTTTGATCTTTATTTGCCCTTTTTCCTTTTTCTCTTCCCTTCTGTTCTTTTTGCTCTTAATGATAAGAAAGAAGAACATTCCTGTGCGGAAATAGCAATGATAATCTTTACCTGCCAAATCCAAAATGATCGCCTGGAAGCCATATTTTTCTTCTAATCAGTCCCAAAATAAAATGGTCACAAAGAAATGCCAAAGGGATCATACGTATGAAATTTGAAAGAGATTCATTCAGTACCTCTTATGAAATAGTAATAACAATATTTAAATCTTTCAATCAAAGATGGCTGCCTTTCGGTCATTTTGTTTATTTCTGATCAGTTCCAAACTCAAACAGACATAACTAGGGACCAAAAGGAACCAATACATGAAGTTTGAGGTAGCTATGCAGAATTTCTGAATATCGGCCATTTCGTTTTTCTGATCAGTCCCAAAATTGCATGGGCACAACTAAGTACCAAGGGGAACCGACATATGAAATTTGAGAGAGATCCATCTCTTTCCTTTTTAAGACATAGCGATAACAAACTTTCAAAGCCAGAATCAAATATGGCTGCCCGTTGGCCATTTTGTATTTCTTATAAGTCCCAAAACCAAACAGGTACAACTAGGGACCAAGGGAAACCGACGAATGAAATTTAAGAAAGATCCATCCGATCCTTCTCAAGATATAGTAATAGAAAACATGCAAGGGCAAAATCCCAGTTGCCGCCCTTTGGCCATTTCGTTTTTCTGATCAGTCCCAAAATTAAGTGGGCACAACTAGAGATCAAGGTGAACCTACATATGAAATATGAGAGATCCATAAAGTACTAATCAAGAAATAACGATAACATAATTCATTGAAAAATTAAAGATGGCCGTCTGTCAGCCATATTGTTTCTTGATCAGTTTAGTACTTGTCAAGAAATAGAGATGACAAAAAATGTTTACGGACGGACGGACCGCGGACATAAGGTCATTTGAATAGTCAACCATCTATTGATTGTGGGCTAAAATATAACATTAAAATATGTTGATACCAGTTTTAGAATAAAACGTTTTACAGTGGCATTGGTTCAACGTACATGTAAAATACAGAACAGAGAGTGGTCAAATAAAGCAGCAAGAGGCCCTAGGGCCTTAACGGTCACATGAGTCACAATGGATCTCATGTCATAGAAATGATATTGTTTAAAAAAGTGATATAACTAACCATAATGCACACATAATTCAAATGTAAATTGTGTATATATTGACTGCTGTCCCACGCAAAGGCTTCTAACCGAGTTTAAATTAGAATAAATTTCACACAAGATTTGAATTTTCTTATTTAAAAATCCTATCCAGGGACAGTAGAGCCTACTTTTGGCCCCGCCTATCAGTCCCTGGGGTCAGTTGATGTCTATATGCGTATCTCGTCAAACAGTCAACCTATGATAAAGTATTTCTGAAAGAAAATAAACAAATTATGCTTAAAAATATACTTTTCCTATATGACTTTCAGTCAATTTTACCCATTTTGGCCCCGCCCAACAGCCCCTGAGGGTCAGTCAAGGTCAATATGTGCATCTCATTAAAATGTCATCTTAAACTAATAG